GGCAGGGACATTTTATCATCTGTGTCCTCAGTACCTTATATCAGGGCCTGACATAATAGCTGATGATTATGGTGTAATAAGTGAATTATCACACTGCTTTAAAGGAAGATGCCCCTATAAAATGCTAGCATAGTACAAAACAGAATAAATCTAAATCAAATGAATGGCATCCTCTTTGTTTGGGTGTTGTCCCTCCCCCCCAAACCAAACAACTGCCATTGAATCAATTCCAACCCTTAGTGACCCTATAGGATGGGGTAGAGCAGCTCAAGTTGGTTTGTTTCCGAGACTGTAACTCTTTAGAGGAATAGAAAGCCTCATGTTTCTCCCAAAGAGGGGGTTGGTACTTTCAAATTTCTGATCATATACTGTATATACTCGAGTATAAGCCAACCTGAATATCAGCTGAGGCACCTTAAAAAACTGCATTAAAAATGTGCTGAACACCTGGACCCACCAAGCTCAGAGGACAATAGCCCGGCTCGGAGGGCCCAATGTACAGAGAGGACCATATCGCCGGCCCCACTGTGAAATGCGACATCCTGCACTGACCCATGGCCCTACATGGGACAGCACTGGAGACACAGTGTGGGATGTGTGACTGAGCTGACCCCACCACACTGAGGCAAAACACTGGGGGCATGCAATTGAGCGGTGGGGGAAGCAGAGCAAGGAGGTCCCGAGGGAGTATAAAGGATGGACTTAAAAAAACAAACAAACAAACAAACAAACAAACAAACAAAAGGATGGACTTTGGGGCCAGCATGTGGCACCCCATCAGACTCTTCCGGAAAACACTCCTAAAGGTCAACAAACAGACCTTGAACTATTAACAGGCTTTTTTTGGTTTTGTTTTGTTTTTCTGTTTTTTTTCTCTTCTTTAAAATTTTGTATGTCAGTGGCTTTTTTGTTTGTTAGCTTGTTGGTGTTGCTGCCGTCGTTGCCATGTTCGTATGTGCCACTTTGGTGCTGTCAAAGCCATCCGCAATTTTATGCACATATTAATATATCCGTAGGTCCACCTAGATAAGATAGGCTGGACAAACAGTGTGAGAAGAAAATAACGGGACCAACGGTCCCAGGGGGACATGAGAGTGTGGGAGGTAGGGGAAGGGAGAAGGTGTTGGCCAACCCAGGGACAAGGGAACAACGAGTGGTTCAAAACCAGTGGCAGGGAGGGGAGGGGAGGACTGGTAGGGACTGACCAAGGGCAAGGTAACTGAGAGGAATTCCTGAAAACAGAATGAAGGTGGAACATGGTAGCGGGACTGGAGGAAAGCGTAAGGAAATAGAGGAAAGGAGTAGGAGGCAAAGGGCATACATAGAGGTCTAAATATAGACATGTACATATGTAAATATATTTATGATTATGGGGGAAATAGACCTATGTGCATATATTTATAGGTTTAGTAGTAGGGTAGCAGATGGACATTGGGCCTCCTCACCTGCATTCCTCCTCGCTTAATACAAGAGCACCTTGCTCAGCTAAATGGTCATTCCATGATACCCACCTTCCTGACATGATCGCTGAAGACAAACATGTGCATAAGCAAACATGGTGAAGAAAGCTGATGGTCCCCGGCTGGGGTCTTAAAGGCTTGAAGCAGCCATCTAGCTCAGAAGCAACAAAGCCCACAGAGAAGAAGCACACAAGCCTGTGTGAACACGAGGTGTTGAAGGGAATCAGGTAGCAGACACCAAAGAACAAAAACCATCATTGTGTGATCACCCTTCCCACATAAATGCTGAAGACGAATGTGTGCATAAGTGTGGTGAAGAAGGCTGATGGTGCCCAGCTATCGAGAGATATAGTGTCTGGGGTCTTAAAGGTTTGAAAGTAAACAAGCGGTCATCTAGCCCAGAAGCAACAAAGCCCACATGGAAGCAGCACACCAACATGTGTGATCATAAAGGGCCAAGGGGACCAAGTTTCAAGCACCAAAGGTGGCGGGGGTGGGTTGGGGGGTAGATCATATCGTGAATGAGGGAAGTGCATGATGGGGACCCAATGCCCATCTGTAGACACATGGACACCCCTTGCAGAAGGGTAGTGGGGAGGAGATGAGTCACTCAGGGTTCAGTGTAGCAATAATGAAACAACCTTCCTCTAGTTCTTAAACGCTTTCTCCTCGCCAACTACCATGATCCCAATTCTACCTTGCAAACCTGGTTAGACCAGAGAATGCACAGTGGTACAGATGGGAACTGGAAACACAGGGTATCCAGGACAGATGAACCCCTCAGGACCAGTGGTGAGAAATGTGATATTGGGAGGGTGGAGGGAAGGTAAGAGAGAAAGGGGGCACAGATTACAACGATCTACATATAACCTCCTCCCTGGGGGACAGACAGCAGAGAAGTGGGTGAAGGGGGACGTCGGATGGTGTAAGATATGATGAAATAATAATAATTTATAAATTATCAAGGGTTCATGAGGGAGGGGGGAGCAGGGAGTGAGGGGGAGGGGGAAAAAGGAAAATGAGCTGATTCCAGGAACCCAAGCGGAAAGCGAGTTTTGAGAATGATGAGGGCAATGAATGTATAAGTGTGCTTTACACAATTGGTGTATGTGTGGATTGTGATAAGAGTTGTATGAGCCCCAATAAAATGATTTTTTTTAAATGTGCTGAAAAACTCGGCATATACTTGAGTATATACAGTAGTTAGCAGCTCAAGGAATAATCACTATGCGCCAGGGCTCCTCTTTATTTGGATAGCCTTGTTCAAATGCTACCTATGTATTATCCTTAGGCATCAGGCCAAGGTGTGGCAACAATAACCATTCCTTCAGTGCTCTCAGCCATGCAGCCAAACCTGCCAGTGTTTTGCACCACAGTTTCAAAATTGATGGGTGCCATGACATTTAGAGAGCAACTGCTTAGAAGGGAAACTGGAAAGCCACCCCCAAACCAAAATCCCACCGCCATTGTGTTCTCACTCATCGCATCACTCTGTATTGTTGTTGTTATACTTATCCATCCATATACACATATAGGTATGTATGTATGCATATATCTCATACACATCATTTTTTCAACTACCGTGTTTACCCGAAAGTAAGACATCTCCTGAAAACAAGACCAACTTACAGTTTTGCCTCTCTCTGAAATATAAGGCATCCCCCCGAAAATAAGACCTCCTCGAAAATAAGCCCCACCCCCAAGCTACCGTAACTCTAACTCTGGACTCTGGACTCTGGACTGTAGTGTGCTCTGCCGTGCAGCTCACTGTTGGCTGCAGTGCAGACAGGAAGTGCGAGGTCTCTTTTAATAAAACGATAAACAATAAATGTGTACCGTATTTTTCTTCATAGAAAAGTAAGATATCCCCTGAAAATAAGACCTAGCACATCTTTGGGAGCAAAAATGAATATGACACTCTTATTTTCTGGGAAATGGTATCATTTTAGCCAAGCTAAGTAAAACTTCCAAAAGAACAGAAAAACATATCCACCTACCCTAGGTGTGTCTTAATATATTCTTTCGTACCACATCTGCTCATTATTAGGACATGAATAATGAGACTCTTTAGATAGCTTCCTCTTTCTCTTGGTGAACGAACAGCTGTTGGGTTTGAACTGCTGACTTGACACTGCCAACCTTGCAGTTAGCAGCCCAACACCTAACCCACAGCGCACATGGAGGCTAAGTTGATGCCTAGAAGAGACTTAGAGATGGTTTCCCCTCCCCTCCAACAACTTATACATGCATAATTCATTGCTATTGATTATACTCGTCCTGTTGTACAGCTGTGCTTGTTATCCCCCTCCAAACTGCTCCACCGCCATTCAAATGAGCTCTGTGTCCCCTAGGCAAAAACTCCTCCTCCACCCATGGTAACCATAGGTCAAGTTTGGTTGTTTTTTTGGTTGTTTGTTTTTAGTTTTCTTGGTATAATACTCACATACACTTGCATTCAAATGGCTTCTAAAAAGAGTTGTATATACACCTTCACAATCAGTCCTTAATGCCCCCCCCCCTGTTTTTTTAAAAAACCCTAAAATAAGTACCCTCAGACATATTTTTGTCATTTTTAGGAGGCTGGTTTTATTTTATTCAGCTTGCAAAATGTGTACTTATTTTAAGATAATCAATTTAAGGAAACAGAGTTTAAGAATCCAGACGTACTGAACCTGTTGAGATGGGAGAAATCCCCATATCTTCCGCTCTGAGAATCTTCAAAACTATAAACTGAAATTGTCTCCTGAAGTCATATTTAAACTGAACAACTATTTAGCTGAATTAGGGGAAAAATGCTTACTGTGAGCATTGTTCTTTCAAGGAATTATCAAATCGTCAGTTATTACTAACGTCTACTAAGTTAGATGAGGAGTTTCCCGGCTAATGAGCCTCCATCAGTGGTTGTGAAACTAATGGGTGGAGCTAGGGAGAATGGTGACACACGTGAAGAATGTAACCAGTGACGCTCGGTTGCACAAACAGAAACAGAGTGTTTTCTGTATATTTTAACCAAAACTAAAATGGGAAGAAAAACAGTTGAGTAGAGCGGCTTTTTAATGGACCATGACTGCTGTAGCAGGACGTGTGCAACGAACTTCAATGTTTTTGTTTGGCGCTAATATTCTTGGACATTTCCCAGGGGAAAGGGAAATGCAAATCAGTTGAAAATTTTGTTGAAATGTAAGGAAATGACAAATTTACTGTTTCTTACGGGATTGTAACTTTTAAGATTGAGCTGATACCAATAGCTGCACAGAGTGATGGTTTTGCGAACACTTTTTCTCAATGGAATACAATCTGAGATCAATCATTATTTACTTTTTGTGAAAATGTCTCCCCAAAGAGAGAGAGAAAAGAGGAATAAAATTGGAGAAGAAATAATATGAAGACTTAATCTCAGTGGGTCCCCACCCCCTCTTTTTCTTTTTAGTTGTATAGAAATTAGAGTAAACTTTCTGGCATAGTTTTGAGAGATTTTATTTTTTTTTAAAAGTAATAGAGTGTATGATCTCCCAATTCAACATTATAATTTCACTGCAGGATAAATTAAGAAGAAAACACGGAGGAGGAAAGCATTGATTACAAATGTCTTAATAATGAGCAAATTTGGCAGGAAAAAATATATTAAGACACACCTAAGGTAGGTGGATATATGTGTTCCTATTCTTTTTAAAGTTCTACTTTGCTTAAAGTTAAAATGATAGTTGAAAATAATGCTGTGTATATATATATGTATACATGCATACTTATATATGTGTATGTATAAATATAATTCTAATAATATACACCAAGTGACTCAAATTCAGTCAACAACCGTCTCCTGCCATGGTAGGCGCTGAAGATACAGTGAGTGACTTATGCTAAGAGAGCAGGTGATATGAGTATATAAACACCCAAACCCACTGCTATCGAGTCCATTCTGACTCAGCCACTTGATAATTGCGTTTCCAGGACTGTAGATCTTTATGGTAGCAAACAAGGAGCAGCTAGTGGGTTTGAGCGACTATTGAAGTTAACAACCTAAAGCCTAACCCATAAAAGCATATGAAAAGGAAAACAAAAAATATATGGACAGTTCTGCAGAAGCTTAGAATTAGAGAAGTGCCCAGAGTTGTAGTCTTCTTTCTTTGTCATTAGACTGTACTTGAGCTTCTTTGTAAAATAGAAATCTTTTGCAGAAAAATCTAAGTAGATTTTTTTCATGTTTTCCTCCGTTCTTTTCAGAGACATTCTGTTTCATTGATTGACTTGAGTTTTAAAAAGAAAGCAATTTTTCCCTCTGGTATTGTAAAGCAATATTAAAGCAGACAAGAAACACCTTTAATACTTTTTCCTGTTCGTGTTGGGCCCCAATTTTAGAGGGGTGAAAAAATTTTGTAGAGGAAATATGTTTAGTCAGTACTGTAGTTTTATCTTTGCAATTTGGACACAACCAAGATTTGAGGATTTTATTTGATAGTTAATTGACTTTTCATTTTGATATTTTTACCCTCTATTTCTTAACCCCTGTTTCCTACTATCCTATCCTTTAAGAACACTTTCCTGAGAACCCGTGATAGAATTCCTTTAAGACGTTTCTTTTTCCTGTCATTTTCCCTTCTGGTTCTATATCTACCTCTTCCTAATACATATAATCACATATTTGTGATTAATCTGTGATTAATTGTCTCAGTATTACTATACTGATGAATTGTCTCAGTATTACCATAATTATCCATATAATTTAATGATTACTCTATATTTGCATTTGTTTATTGTAAGTTTGTTATGGTAATATACTTTGTTTTAGTCTTGTACTGTACACAAATAGCACAAACCTCTTTTTCTTGACTAAGTGATCCATCTTTTTTGTACTGCACTGTGCAAAAAAATACTGTAATGTTGTTAAATATTTGAAGGAGTTACTGTTGAAGGATGTATGTGTTCCACTGTAATCCTAAAAAATAACAGTATAAGTAAACAGATATGCATCTGTTTGAATTTCTGCAATGAAATTTATCCTAGTTATTATTTAAAATCATGTTACTGGAGAGAGCCTAGATTTTTAAAACCTATGCTTACATTAACATGTTACTTAATTGAGTCCTATTATAGTCAGACTTATCTTGAATAACATTTGCTTTTGTAACAAAAAATGTATTAAGTAATATGTAGAGACTTTGAGAAGATATATTTAACCATCATAAGAAAAAATATGGCCACTAATGGTTGCTTATAATTTCATATTCTTATTTTAGCAAATTCTTACATTTGTTAATATGTTCAGTAGGCTTGTGGAACCAAATGTTTCCCAATATTTTGTCAGTTCTTAGTTGATAATGGACAAAGTATGTGTGTATTCTAAATAATTGTTATATAAAACATTTTTATGTCTTAATCTTTATTCTGTAATTTATAACTGCTAATTAGTCCTTATCCTTCTGATAAAAATTGGTTTAAGATTCAAATGCTCCAAAAAAATTAAAAAATTAAAAAATTAAAAAAAATAAAAAGGTTCAAATGCTCCATAATTAATTTGGAAATTTATTCTATTGTATTGATGCATCTGTGTTGATATTTGGCCATTATACAAAATAAGGTTTTAGGGGAAGAATTTTATGATACATATCTTCAATCTTAATAGGATTAGCTATAAAGTCTAAAGGAAACAATGCATGATTAAAATACATATATTTTCTGTATATTTTATCAATAAAATCTGGAGTATTTGTGGTTTTTAAGATAGTAGTATTTAGTAGGAGGCTCAGCTTTATTTTAAACTAGATAAGAATCCCATATTTGCACTATAATGAAGATAATTTTTAAATTCAAGGGCTTACTTCATAAGTCTAAGGTGATCATGATTTTCCAGTTCTTCGATAGCTCCTTCCCACATGACCCATTGCTGTTACATTGCTTCCAGGTCATAAGGCCTGTAGGACAGAGTAGAATTCCCTTTTTGGGTTCCAAAGCTGTAATTCTTCACACTGCGGATGGCCTCGTTTCTCCCATTGAGCCGAGTGGGTTTGAACTGGGTTGAATCTCCAACCATGCAATTAGCAGCACAGCACTTATTCCACTTTACTTTCTCTTCTCGAGTTGACCTTTGCAATGTTCTGGTCAGCTCTTCAACTTCATTATTTCTCCCTTTGGCCTTACCTACTGTATGGTTAAGAACACGTTTGAGTCTCATCTGATAGCCACTCTGACCTTTTCTTTCTTTCCTGTTTTTCTTTTAAGATAGTTTTATTGACATAATATTCAAGTATTGTACATTGGTTCGAATATTATTTAAAAGATTGTACATTCATCACCACAATACGTCTTAGAGCATTTTCATTATTTTTGTACTAAACTGTTATTAGCTTTCCTGTCTGTTCAGTGACCGCGCTTTCTTCACGTCTTAGGCTCTTGATGTCCTCCACAGCCCATCAGGTCTTCTGTCATTAGTGCTCAGTGCAGGAAATTTGTTCTTGAAATGTTCTCAAAATTTAGGTGGGTCATATTTGGCTCTAATGCAACTGTTTGAATTTTCTTCTTCATCGGCCTTATATTGAACTTCTCCATGGTCTCTTCCCAAAGATGCAATCAATGTTTTTGGGGTTTTTTTCCAAACCAACAGCCTTATGTTATTTATTGTTAGACTTGATGAGGAAGCAAAAAACCAAGGAATAAACCAGATTACTTGCCAATAGAAGTTCAATTGATCAGATGGGGACAAAAGTCTTAATGCAATACAACATGATTTGAGCCTGGGAAAATGCGGTCATGTGTGCCATCCCTCAGGGGGCTCCTTACAGACCTAGCTTGGTTCTTCTCCAATGTCTTCTCTTGAAGTTGTACCTGATTTTATTGCCGGTTTTCATTCGAATCCATTGGGGAATGGGCCGATTCATTCTTCTGTTTCTTGACCAGGAATCTCTTGTTCCTGAAAGTCTTATGAGACGACATGGTGAAGTCGGAGCAACACCACCCTCAGGATGGCGGAGCGTAATCAATGTTTTAATGCGATACCTAAGATTTTCAGTGGTGAATTCCTCAGAAGTGGATAGCCTATTCTTTCTTCATAGTCTTTTCTTAGTCCGAAAGCTCTACTGAAATCTGTTCATTTTGGGTGACCCTGCAGGCATTTTAAGTACCATTGACCATAGCTTCCAGCACCACAGCAATGTGCAAGTCACCACAGTATAAGATTGACAGATAAGTGGCTGCTTTCCACCTTAGCCACTCCCTGGTTCTCTCACCGGGGCCACTATCTCTGAGGCCAGGTTGAGAGAGGAATGTCAGTTAGGCACCTGTGTCTGAATCCAGAAGTGATTTGATTTACTTGTGTTGGTGTTGCATGAGCATTTTCATTTGGCTTCTGAGTCTTACATCTCCTGCTGAGATAACAGTGGAAAATTCCCAGTATAATGCTTAAATTAAGGACTCAAGTTTTAGTTGAAACTTTTGCCCGAGTCCAGCCTTGGGGGTGGCTGTCAGTGGGCCTTAGGGGGTTGTGCTGCAGGGCAGTTGGAGATAGACAAGCACAATAAACTTGTGTGCAGATGTTGAGGTATATTATTTTATACCGATTGTGTTGTACATTTTTTAACCTGAAAATAAACTGATTTTATAGTACAGTACAGAGTGATATGTACTGGGTACAGGATAAGGCAATCTAGAAGAACATTAATATAGAAATTAATTATAATTCCTACACCCTAGTGGGAAAGAAAATATATCTGAGCGAAGATGATAACAACAGACCCAAAAGCTCATCTGCCAACCTCATTGGTGTTGATTAGATTTTGAGTCAAACATCCTTAAAGGATAGAGGAAGGCTACCCCATTGGGTTTCCTGGAGCTGACTGCCACATCTTTTTCAGGAACAACATCGGAGTTAGAACTGCTTATCTTTAGGTCAGCAGCGGTGTGCTTAACAACTGAGCCATCCAGGCTTCTTAAGAACACATCATTTGTTTAATGTGATGTCCGAACTGGAATCTTCAGGGCCCTGGCTATGGTAGGAGCAGTGGAGTCATCGAAAATCTTGTTTAGCCCTTGCCATGATACCTAATATGTACTCTTTAGAAAGTGACTTAATCTCTCAAACATCTTTTTTTTTTATAAACCGTTATGGGAGCATCCAACAAGTGCACCATCTTGCAGACTGGTTGGCATATTTAACATGGTAGGTTCTATCCTAGGCACTGAGGGCTACATAGAAATCTAAGATATGATTCTAGACTTTGAGTTGTTGATAATACTATCCCCCCCCTTTTTTTTTTTTTAATGAATGAATGTGCTGTATGCTTTGCATGGGCAAGAGGCAGAGGGAAATGGTGAGGGTAGAAGTAAGTGGGTTTGTTGATTTGAGGGAGTTCTCATCTGAAATAGCAAAGTTTTTATTGAGTTAAGCTGTAGGTGAGTTCAGGGATTTGTGGAGAGGGAGACACTGTGAAGCAGGTGTAGAGAATAAGAGATCATGCTGATTAAGGAAATTCAACTAGGTTGCTGCCCGGTTTGAAGGGTTCAATTGAGGTAGAGAACCATGAATAGTTTTAATAGAATTCTGTTTTAGAACTTCATTCAGTGTCGTTGACCAGTCTTGATACAGAGGAGGCAAAGGATTGGTTTTATCCAAAATTTGTATTTATTAAGCAGCCGCTGCAAAAGGGAAGCGAACTGGAGCCTTTAGGAATAGTAGTTGAATTACTGGGCCACGGATTCTAGGCTGAATAGGGTAGGAAGCAAAGAGGAGGCTGATGGCAAACGTGAAAGTAGAGACTTCATTTGCCTGGAAATCTCAGCATGGAGGAAGAACAGGTGTGCAGGGAGCAATCTTGGGAAGGCCACAAGCTAGGAGGATAAGCTCTTGGAGGGAGAGTGAGATACTAGACATGATTTTTTCCCCAGAGATGTAGCAGTACAGTTTTAGACACTCACAAAATGGCCTGGTGTGTGGCTGCCTACTCAAGGAGGGAAAGCTATCCAACTGAGGAATTAGAGTGAAAGATGAGTGTTTATTTGAACTTTGAAAAGACACAATGATAAAACCAGAGCTGGAGAGGATGACCAGGTGGCAGCCTGCTCATTACAGGATGCTAAGAACAACTGACTTGCTCTTTACAATGTAACAAGATAACATCCTTGAGCTAATTCAAGAAGTTACTTTCTGGTTAAGGAGCTAACCACAAGATCAGCATTTGGAATCTACAAGCTGCTCTTCAGGAGAAAGATGAGGCTGAAAGACTTAGGGCTTGGAAACTCCAAATGAGGCAGCCAGCACGGGATCGAGTGAGTTGGAATTGATAGCAGTGAGTTTATGGTTGTGTTCATTTCTGACTACCTGAGAAGCTAAATGGTTCTCAATTTGTATTGTACATCAGAATCACTTGGATACTTATTAAATCATACAGTTCCTCTTATGAGTTTGATTCAGTAGGCTTAGGGCTGAGCCTTGGAATCTACATTTATTATACAGGTACTTTTGTTAATTCTGATGCAAGCTGTCCAAGATTTATACTTTGAAAAATTCAAGTAATTAATTCCATCAGGGCAAGGGCCTGCCATAACCACCCAGGTATTTTCAGAGTTTGTCATAGAGGTGGTTTTAAATGAATGCTTCTACAATGAGAGAGTTTATTGGGGGAAGATTTGTTTTGCCTTGTACCTTTTGAGTTGAGACACAAGTTCTTGGTAGAACATTAATAGCATTTTAATAAAGCTGCAAGAAATACCACCAGACAAGTGCCTCTAAAACGCGAGTGCTAGGGTTTGGTTGTCAGATATATTTTTTAAATGCTGCATATTAAATCTCCACTCTTACCTTTTTCTAGGCCCAGTAGCATATTCAAGTTTCTGAATAGTTCTGTAGCAAACAAACAACAAAAAAACTTTTAAATTCAGAATATTGAAAATCAGCTTTTCCCAGATACTGCCCAGCAGTTCTCAAGCTGTGTGTCCTGACCTGTGTGGGGGTCGAAGGACCCTTTCACAGGGGCCGCCCAATTCATAGCAGTAGCAAAATGACAGTTATGAAGTAGCAATGAAAAATAATTTGATGGATGGGGGAGCACCACCACATGAGGAGCTGTATGAAAGGGTCATGGCATTAGGAAGGTTGAGAACCACTGCCAAAGAGACAAGAACCCCCATTCTGACTGACACAGAGAGCCTCCCCAAGAGCCATCGCACTGAAGGCGGACTTCTGAACTCAGCACACATTTGTCCGTCAAAACCATCTTCTTGTGCGTTTGTATTTTAGAAGCTCTAGATAATTAAGAAAAGAGCTTGAAATAATTGTCCACAAGACATGTAAGATTTTTAAGAGTTGTTTTAAAATAAGCTAAGCGTTCACTAAAAGATTTCACAGGCCCCTTTGCAATGTTCCTATCCAGAGAGCAGAAGGTCCCTTGAGTTTGGAAACCTAGAACTTTGCTACTGGAAACTATTTCCTGAGAAAATAAGATGGCGCAATTGGCTGTCAGGAGTAAATATCACAAAGCTAAATAAACACAGGGAAATATTTCAGATAGGGCCTTAATGCTTCTTCCATTTTATTGTCTTTTCAGACAAATGACCATGGAAACAGTTGAATCCCAGCAGGATGGAAGTGTAACAAATTCTGTGGCAGAGAGTGAATCTGCTCATATGCAGACTCAGACTGGTCAAGATTCAATTCCTACTTTAGCTCAGGTAATTTCAACTTAGGCAACAGGCAGGCTTGGATAAAAGTTAAAATATACGGAAACGAGAGTTCTGTGCAGATACTGTGTTCTTACAGTTGGTCTCTAAGTTTTCCATCTTCTCAGGTTATCAACCATTCACTCTAATGGATTGACTGCAGAGGAGATACAATGTATCATTACTTTTCCATTTGAATAGACACTTTGCAGCCACGCCCCACCCCACTCTACCACCAACCATTGTGGGAAGGAAAAGGCACCCCCGCCCCATATATTATCTTTACATTCTTAGTTCAGATGGTCATCTCAAATTGTTATAGGTTTATGCTCTTAGCTACAAAGAATTTTTTTTCTTTTCTTTTTTTTAATCATTTTATTAGGGGCACATACAACTTATCACAATCCATGCATATATCATTTGTGCAAAGCACATTTGTACATTGGTTACCCTCATCATTCTCAAAACATTTGCTCTCCACATAAGCCCCTAGCATCAGCTCCTCATTTTTCCCCCCCCCACCCAACTCCCCCCACCCTTGATAATTTATAAATTATTATTTTGTCATATCTTACACTGTCCAATGTCTCCCTTCACCACTTTTCTGTTGTCCATCCCCCAGGGAGGTTATATGTAGCTCCTTGTAATCGGTCCCCCCTCTCGACCCCACCCTCCTTCCACCCTCCAGGTATCAACACTCTCATCACTGGTCCTGAAGGGATTATCCGCCCTGGATTCCCTGTGTTTCCAGTTCCTACCTGTACCAGTGTACATCCCCTGGTCTAGCCAGATTTGTAAGGTAGAATTGGGATCATGATAGTAGGGGGGAAGGAAGCATTCAGGAACTAGAGGAAAGATGTATGTTTCATCGTTGCTACCCTGCACTCTGACTGGCTGGTCTCCTCCTTGCAACCCTTCCATAAGGGGATGTCCAGTTGCCTACAGATGGGTTTTGGGTCTGCACTCCACACCACCACCCCCTCATACACAATGATATGATTTTTTGTTCTGATGATGCCTGATACCTGATCCCTTCGACACCTTGTGATCACACAGGCTGGAGCTGCAAAGAAGTGTTACCACTTGCTTAGTATCTATTTGTCATTGTAGTTGCTTGTTTTTCCTAGTTCGGTCTTAAATTTTCAGTTGACATCATTCCGAGATCACCAGTGTGTGTCATTCACTGGTTTTGAGCTCCTAAAATTGATTACTGAGTTACCTATAAAAATACATTATAAAAAAACAATACATATCTTGCCTCATATTAATTGCCATCAAATTACATATAGTTACCTCAACTAGCTTATGGTTTTAATGGGGTAGATAGGTATCTAACAGTAAGCCTAATAGTAGAGCAAATATTCTACAAATTATATACAAATTAACTAAGACGAGTAAGAGAGAAGCCAGTTGGCCAAAGGCCATACAGTCGGAAGGCTTAAAAGTAGCTTTGGGTATTGAGATTTGAATTTTGGATTTTAGTAGGTTGTAGAATAAATGGAGGAGAAAACAATAGCAACAAAAAATTCCATTGCCACCACGTCACTTCTGAATCACAATGACCCTGTAGGGTGGAGCAGAACTTCTTCCTGGCATTTCTTAGGCTGTTAACCTTTACAAGAGCAGAAAGCCTCATCCTCATTCCTTGGAGTGGATTTGAACCACTGACTTTTTGGTTAGCAAGCCAATGAGTAGCCAACTATGCTACTAGGGCTCCTTAAATAGAAGAGACGAAGTGGAAATTGGAAGTATAGATTCTTCAAGAACTTTATTGATGAAAAAATTCCTGGGTTGAGAGAAGCCTATAATGCTTGGAATAAAAGGAGAGGTAAGAGTTGGGAGAAGGCTACATTAGGGACTTTTAAAAGCGTATAGTTTATAATGTTTCTTCAAAAATTAAAAAATATGCAAGTCTGTACTTACCCAGCATGGATGCTGAACTCATGAATTTAGTATATTCTGTCTTCCATATGTTTGAAATATTTAATCAAAAAATAAACTAGTTTTTATTTCCTCTATGCTAGGAATGTTATGAAATAAGTTATTTGCATTCTAATTTATGGATTCCTTTTGTTAACTAAAGGAGTCCTGGTGTTGCTGAGTGGGGGTAAATATTGGGCTGCTAACTGCAAGGTTGGCAGTTCAAACTCACCAACTGCTCAGAGGGATGATGATGAGGCTGTCTACTCCCATAAAGATTTACAGCTTTGAAACCCTATATAGGATGATTATGGGTCAGGTGATTTAGTGACACTGAGTTTGTGTTCATTAACTAAGAATTATCTTCTATTCCATACATAGATCATGACTTTTCAAAGAAATGTGTCACATAAAACACAAGTCCAGACTTTTATAGGGAGGAGCGTTATTCAGAAAGAAAAGGGGGGCCTTCTGACGGTAAGACTGAGCAGTATCTTCATGAATGAAGGTAAAGGCGCTTTTATTTTATAGAGGCTTGGAAAAAACAACACAGGTGCAGCAGATGGGATGATGAAGTTGCTTTGTTGCAAATCAGACTGTTTCATGCTGGAGCCAGCTTGTTCTCTGGGAGGGACTCTTGGAGAGGGTACTTACTTACGGTGGTTCAGGCTGAGTGAGAAGGGACCAGTATTCATTGACTTGGGGAAAGGAGAAAAGCTTAGTCAACGTTCCGTTAGCAAGCACTTTGCTTCTGACTGCAGTGGATCAAGTAATTGAGTCATTCATTTGCGAGGCAAGAAATGAGCATTTGGGAGTTGTGTCTGGCTTTGTCATAGCTAAACAAAGCAGTATCCACGAATCTCATTGAAGTCTCATGGGCAGGGCGGAGGTCTGCAGTCAGCCACTTTCCTCAACCCAGAGGGGAAGGGGCTTCTTTACCAGTTGCTCCTTTCCAGCATCACAGGGTACAGATAGAATTCCATATTGTCATTGGACATAATTCTCAGCACGGAATTTTCCTAATGTCATTACTCATGTAGTTTTTTTTAATACCTGAAGCTATTGAGTTAAGATTTATTATGATTCAACAATGTAATATATATATGTATATATATGAATTAGAACATCACACTCAATATTATGATGATTATGAGGGTAAGTGCAAAGATTGCCACAAGGGCTCCACTTTTACAGATGATCTCAAAGCAAATGTGTTCAAACAGGCCTCTGCAACCAATGGATGGCTGCAGACAAAGCCAGCTCGGGGATGCACTTGGCTTAGACTGATTAAGGGGCCTTCAAAAAAACATTGTCTAATCAAAACAGTGGCTTCCAAGGGATTTGCTAGGCCAGTTCAATTTAAGATGGCCAGCTCAGAAAGTGGCAACTCTTTGTTGGGTTTTGTTTTTTTTTAATCATTTTATTAGGGGCTCATACAACTCATACCATAATCCATACACACATCAATTGTGTAAAGTGCATTTGTACATTCATTGCCCTTATCATTCTCAAAACATTTCTTCTCCACTTAAGCCCCTGGCATTAGGTCCTCATTTTTCCCCTCCCTCCATGGTCCCCCCTCCTTCATGAGCCCTTGATAATTTATAAATTATTATTTTGTCATATCTTGCCCTGTCCGACGTCTCCCTTCACCCAATTTTCTGTTGTCCGTCCCC